CAAGCAGGCAGGCAAATATTGGAGGTGCAAGCAAGGGAAATACGGAGTGAGCTGCTAAGGTCTTTGAGATGAGTATGAGTCTTTTGATGAACTATCTCTCTGGAATAGTTTTCCAGGTACTTGGAAAAACAGGGCTGGAAAATTCTGAGGATGGAAACAAGTGAAGGACTCACAAAAGGTCTTGGTCTATGGAAATCTCAATGTAGCTAAAATGACTGGAAATAGTTAAGTTGCGTGCATCTGAGAAACCATTTGCTTGTGAGCCAGTTTTTTTATATCAGGGCACTGTAACTGCCATTGTTAAATAGTTGCTGAAGACTCTATGTCTGAATCTGGATGAGGGTCTTGAGCGCCACCTAGTGCTGAGATGGAACCATTCATTAGAATATCTAGTAGAAAACAGTTTCCCCTTTTTTTATTACGTTGTTATTGTAGGGTTCTTTATAGCCACACACACACACAAGCCAAATCCTAGGGTACAGCATTTGAGCTGGTGAATAATGAATTTACAAAGCTAAATATTACAGAAGACACTTTGAGACGAAAACTGCAGGGGATATTCATGCTGTCGGAAGCGTCCCCTTCAACGATAGATTTCAGAATATGTCTCCTACTTGCTTCCTAACAATTTATTTGATTTTTATCCCACCTTTATTATTATTTATAAATAGATTAAGGTGGCAAGCATACATAACACTCTTTCTTCCTTCTATTCTCCCACAACAACAATCCTGTGAGGTGGGTTGGGCTGAAAGACAGTGATTGGCTCAAAGTCACCCAGCCTATTTTTGTGCCTAAGATGGAACTGGAACTCATTGCCTCCTGGTTCCTAACTCAGCAATTAATGCAATTAGCATTAATTGACAAGAAAAGATCATTTATGGTAATTATTTCAGTATTGGTATGCTTATTATTATTATTTTTTTAAAATCACTGTTTCTCAATGATGAGGGGATTAATTAATTATGTGTTCAGGTGACTGAACTGTGTCAGAGAGGGGAATTTATGGGGGCTCAAAATGCGACTGAACTCCAGTTCTCAGAATTTCTTGCAAGGGGCCCTGCTGGCTAAGACTGGGAGAAATTACAATTCAGCAAAACGTGAAGACTGCTGCTGCATTAAATTGTGCAGCCCTGAGCAGAGGCATGAGGTTTCTGATACAATCTTAAAATGCTAGTCTTCAAGACAATAATTAGGTCCTTGCCGCAACACAATTGTATAAAGCAAAGGGCCTGGATTTGCTGTTACAAGTAGTCTTTGATTTGTAACAGCAATTGACCCCTAAATTTCCCCTGCTAAGCAAGACAGTTGTTAAGTGAAGTTTTGCCCCATTTTACAATTTTCCCTGCCACAGCTGTTAAGTAAATCACTGCAGTTGTTAAGTTAGTAAAATGGCGGTTAAGTGAATTTGGCTTCCCCATTGACTTTGCCTGTCCGCAGGTCACAAAAAGTGATCACGTGACCCTGGGACCCTACAAAACCGTCATAAATATGAATCATTTGCCAAGCATCCGAATTTTAATCAGGTGACTATGGGGATGTTGTAATGGTGGCAAGTGTGATAAATAGTCATAAGTGACTTTTTTCAGTGGCACCATAATCTTGGTCATTAAATAAATGGTTGCTAGTTGAGGACTACCTATATATAGCACACAACTATTTGTAAGATACCGTACTTTAGAAGCCATTCCAGGTGTCCTTTGCTTAGCTTCAAAGCTCCATGACTATTTATTTGAAAATTATTGTGGAAAATAAGTATTTGGTCAATATCAAAAGTTCATCTCAATACTTTGTTATATATCCTTCGTTGGCAATGACAGAGGTCAAATGTTTTCTGTAAGTCTTCACAAGGTTGGCCCACACTGCTGCCGGTATGTTGGCCCATTCCTCCATGCAGATCTCCTCTAGAGCAGTGATGTTTTGGGGCTGTTGCTGGTCAACACGGACTTTCAATTCCCTCCAAAGGTTTTCTATGGGGTTGAGATCTGGAGACTGGCTAGGTCACTCCAGGACCTTGAAATGCTTCTTATTAAGCCACTCCTTCGTTGCCTGGGCGGTGTGTTTGGGATCATTGTCATGCTGAAAGACCCAGCCACGTTTCATCTTCAATGCCCTTGCTGATGGAAGGAGGTTTGCACTCAAAATCTCATGATACATGGCCCCATTCATTCTTTCTTGTAAACAGATCAGTCGTCCTGGTCCCTTTGCAGAGAAACAGCCCCAAAGCATGATGTTGCCACCCCCATGCTTCACAGTAGGTATAGTGTTCTTTGGATGCAACTCAGCATTCTCTCTCCTCCAAACACGACGAGTTGTGTTTCTACCCAACAGTTCTACTTGGTTTCATCTGACCATAGGACATTCTCCCAATCCTCTTCTGGATCATCCAAATGCTCTCTAGCAAACTTCAGACGGGCCCGGACATGTACTGGCTTAAGCAGGGGGACACGTCTGGCACTGCAGGATCTGAGTCCCTGGCGCTATAGTGTGTTACTGATGGTTGCTTTTGTTACGTTGGTCCCAGCTCTCTGCAGGTCATTCACTAGGTCCCCCCAAGTGGTTCTGGGATTTTTGCTGACCGTTCTTGTGATCATGTTGACCCCACGGGGAGAGATCTTGCGTGGAGCCCCAGATCGAGGGAGATTATCAGTGGTCTTGTATGTCTTCCATTTTCTAATTATTGCTCCCACAGTTGATTTCTTCACACCTGCTTGCCTATTGCAGATTCAGTCTTCCCAGCCTGGTGCAGGTCTACAATTTTGTTTCTGGTGTCCTTTGACAGCTCTTTGGTCTTCTTCACCATAGTGGAGTTTGGAGTATGACTGTTTGAGGTTGTGGACAGGTGTCTTTTATACTGATAACAAGTTCAAACAGGTGCCATTAATACAGGTAATGAGTGGAGGACAGAGGAGCCTCTTAAAGAAGAAGTTACAGGTCTGTGAGAGCCAGAAATCTTGCTTGTTTGTAGGTGAACAAATACTTATTTTCCACCATAATTTGCAAATAAATTCTTTCCAAATCAGACAATGTGATTGTCTGGATTTTTTTTCTCATTTTGTCTCTCATAGTTGAGGTCTACCTATGATGACAATTACAGGCCTCTCTCATCTTTTTAAGTGGGAGAACTTGCACAATTGGTGGCTGACTAAATACTTTTTTGCCCCACTGTATGTATGTATGTATATATGTATGTATGTATGTATGTATGTATGTGTGTGTGTGTATGTGTACAAAATCTTTCAAGCCCACCAATCCTGTGAAAAACCAGGAAGTGTCCTACTCCCACCCAAACATATTCAACAGTCATGTCCTTAGTGCATCACTGTTTTGCCCATCCTAACTCTTTGGCATTCAGACAAGATTAAGTGTGTTCCCCTTGCACACTTGAAAATTGCCTTCCCTTTGTTAAATCTATGTTGGTTGTTTAAGTGCATTTTGCTGAACCCTCCTTCCCGAGTTTATGCAATTTGGCTTTGCCACTGCAGTGGCTGTTTCACACATCCTGAACCAAACAAATCATAATATGGATTTATCCACCACATGAACATAGCTAGTGGAAGCCTTGCTCCTCTTGCATGGCTGAAAAGGTGATGTAAGAATATGAAGGTAGGATGAGATGGCCAATTCCTGTAGACCATTGTGCAAAGGACTGCTGCCAATACAAGGTAAGCCCCTTCTTGGTGCTGCCCTTTTTTCCTGTTCAGCTGTATGAAGCGCAGTGGTATTTCTCCCTTTCATTCCGTCTGTGTTTGTGTGCATTCAGCTTATGCTGAATTTTATGAGTCTTTAATAAACTCTAGACAACATTTGCAACATTTCATCCCACCAATGTGTCTTCAGATCAACACTTGCCAAGACTAGCTAAAATGACATGTGCTGTAGGAGAACTAATAAAATGCTACATAAAACAATTCCTTGAAAATACATCGCTTTGCCTCCTTTAATGCAGCCCTATTTCTCTTCTTTCTTCATTTCTGGGTGAGAAGATCTCAGATACTGATGTGTGCCAGTATCCCTGCCTGTCATCGTCCAAGGCTTTTGTTAGGGAAATGCCAAGGGGAAAAAAAGAGAAAGAAACAAGTAGCTGTAAACCTTCTTGAAGTCTAAGAATTACTCATCAAAGTGATTCATGGTTTTCTGCCCTCTTATATGAATACACAATTTTCCCAGAAGATAACCTCTTTCACAGGTATTCCCTGAAAGCATAAAACTCTGTTCCTATTTTAAGGCATACATTCCTGATCTCCTACAACAGATCCGCTACAACGAAAAAATTATTTAGATATGTGAGGATTTCTCTTGTTGTATGTTATCAGAATGACATCACATAATGAAGGAGAGACGTGTTTCTTCTGGCAGAGGCATCAGGCTGCAATTGCTCCAGGTGGGAATGAGACAAGTCCCTGCGGGACAACTTGTCGTGGGACAATTTAACAATTCAATTGAATTATTTAAAATAAATAAAAAATATGTTTTAATTTTTGTCATTCACATTTCATTTTGTCCCTTTCTTTGCATCCTTTCTTTAATGAGTCTGTGCTACCATTTCTTTGATATTAGTGTAACTCTTGTCCCGCAGTGACTTGTTTCACAATGAGTTGGCCGTGGTGAGTTGGCCACAGTAAACTGTCATAGGCCCTGCTCAGTCACCCAAAGGGCTATGCCTTGAAGGAAGATGATGCCTCACAATAGGAGGCCAGTGTGTTTGAGTTCTCTTGAGCAATGCCCAGGTTTGGAATTGGGACTTGACATGACGCCACCTTGATGTGGAAGTTCAGGAAAAGGCACCTGTTATGGTTCCAGCTAATGAAACACTTCAAATAACTTCCAGGCATTTATTTTCCTAAAAGTCTTTTATTGTTACAAAATGTCGGCACAGGCACAACGGAGGGATGCTAGGATCTAAGTTCTCTTCCTCTGAGCAGTTAAATTATCAGCATGTTCCCTCCCTAAATTAGCCATCATATATCACATTATCCAATTAGTGTGAAGGTCAAAGGTTTTCTTCCTCTTTCTTTCCCGGGCTTTACCCCTACTCCCCTTCTGCTCTGTATTAATCCCATAAATATCAGACAGTTCTGCATATTGTCAAAAGCAAGAATATACAATATTTGCAGCATTGACAGCACCCTTGGAAGAGGGTGAAAGTAATATAAAGGCTAAAGAAGCATGGTCATCATTTTTTGTGAAGTTCTACTTCAGTGAGCAAGGCTGTGAATGTTTCCTGGAATCCCGGCTGCTTTATAAAACAATGATGTGAAGTTCAATTGTTTTATCTACAGAAGAACCTAGCAAAGTCATTTTACTTTATTGAAGATGAAATCTAACTTGGCAGATATTCATTGCTTTGTGGTATGTATCTTCCTTGTGTGTTTTTTTATTTTATTTTTAACCAACAAAACTAAACAAAACATAGCAAAACATAACACACATACACACACAATATATACTCCTCCCTCTTTCTTTTAACAGTGATTATGTAACGGTAATGCTTCTTATTAGGAAGTCCAACTGTATCAATAGATCCTTCATCCAGGTGAATAAAGATGCAATTTATGGGATTTTTACATAAAAAAAACATTCCTCAGTGTACTTGTGAGCCTAGTTACATCAAATACATCTTTAAACTTGATCTCAATCAAAGAAGAACCTAAAAATACATTGATACAACAGAAGACAGTAAGCAATAGGTAACTGATCAGTAAGATCACACTGCACGACAAGGCTGAGACACTTATTTCAATATTATTTTACAGATTGTGCTGCAAAACTGCCTTATTCACACTCAACCCCAGCATCTTCACCATGACCGCAGTTGTTTTCACCCCATTCACGTTTACTACACAAATAAATGGAGGGTTCATTTCCTGAACATTGTACATCATCCAGCCAGATTTGTCCAGATCCTGATGAGAGTCAAAATACACAAGCAGAGATATAATGAGCAAATATGTAAATTGTTTCCAAGGCAAGAAAACAAACTGTGTTGACATCATTGTGCTGTAAGATCTGATTTTACACATATGAGGGATTTGTTGAGGGAACCATTTTCCCTTTAGCTGTTCTCTCAGATGTCTAAAATTCCCCTCTAGAACAAAGGCCCAGGGCAAAGATTTTCCTTGCTATTTAAAGAGTAGAGCCATGTTTCAACCCCCCCCCCCCAATCTCATGCTTTCTGATTTGATGAAAGTTGTGAAGTAGATTACCTGCAGGTGCAGTGAAGGTATTAACAGCCCGATTGAACCCCAGCATTCGGCAAATCACGTTGCCAGAATTCACATCCCAGAGATCATCACAGATGGTGCCCCACTCCCCTTTATGCAGAATCTCCACACGACCACGGTTGTCTTGTCCTATGAGTCTTAGGAAAGCACCGAATCCTGTGGTTGTTTGTGTACGTGATTTCAAAAGACAATGGTAAAGCATTAAGGTTTTGATTGGGCCAAGCATCCATTGAAAAAGAACCTTTCTACTCCAGCTATACATTTGTGATTTTCCACATCTAAAGGATGGTTTCCGTATAAACTCTCTTAGAGGGAAATGGTGGACTTTAACTAGAGCATCCTGGGCAAATCTTGCAACTGATGGTCCATACATTTATTTTGGTATTTGTAAATTTTGTTTTTGTTCCTTGATATTGGCTTCTCTACTAGACCTGATGCCCCAGGTGACTGCCTAGTTCACCTGTATGGTTAAGCCGCTCTTGGGAAAGAATAACATAACACTTTGAGGGGTCCTGAAGACAACTCCTGGATTAAATGTATAATAAGGATAATAAGCACAAATATCTTTTCTAACAAAGGAATGCACCCTATTACTTGTCTATAAGTCCTGATAACAAAGAGTACTATCTCCGTTTTGCCTGCTTCTGGAACAGACATAGCTGTATGTATTTTTCAATCGAGTTTTTGCTACTGTTATGCTCTTATGCTAGAAAAAGAAACCCAGCTCATATGGAGCTCCACACGTGCAAAGAAGTTCTACAGTTTGTTGGGGATAATTTACCTGAGATGCCCCTTTCACCTTTAGAACCTTGTGCTCCTGGTGATCCTGGTTTAAGAGAATTAAAAGAATGTTGATAAAACATCCAGATAGCTTGTGGGTTCTTTTTTTTTAAAAAAAAAAAACATAAATGAAAACAGAAACAGTACACAATGGAGTGATGAATGAATAAAACAAACGCAACATGGACCAGAAAGATATTATCTGTCCTACGTGTGTACCACACTTCCCGAGGCATATCTATTGCAAGAGTTCTTATAGATCAATGGTTCCCAAACACTTTGGTTTTAGGACCATTTTTTAAATTTTGATTTATTTTTTTAATTATGGAGGACCCTTGAAAGGTTTAGTTTGTGTAGGTTATACCTATCAATATTTATTAGAAATTAAAGCAGAGAAATTTTAAAATATTTATTTGACTTCATGAACCCCTTGAAAGCGTGTAGTCCTAGAATGGATTTTTGCCTGCAATTCTTTTCTTTGCTATTACCATAATAGGTGAGTTTTTTCCCAAGTGTCTAACAGCAAAACTGGAGAACCAGCATTGAAGAATCTTTACATGGCTTTTCATTATAGATCAACCAAACAAGGCATATGGAATAATCCAGTAGCTTCAATAAAATGGAATTTATGGAGAGTGGGTTGAGAACAGGACATCTGTCATGAGTGCTCTATAGCAGGGGTGTCAAACAGGCAGCCCGTGGGCCGGATGCGTCATGCACAGGCCACGCCCACCCCAGCTCTGCAAAGGCAAAAAAGTCACAATATGTCACATGACTCAATCGAGTTTGACACCCATGCTTTATAGAATACTTGCCTATAATAATTTAAACATTTATAAATCCATATTCTACCAAAACAAAATATATGCATTTGATTATATGTATGTGCAAAATATTGATATCAGTTTTGCAATTTACCTTTATCTCCCTTATTACCTTTTTGACCCTGATCACCTTTTTGTCCTTGCGGGCCTGAGAGAAGAAGAAGAATTACAGGTTAGAAAGTCTTTGGAAGCTAGTGTTTCAGCAGACTAAAACATGCTATTTGCAGCTCCTTTCAGCTGTCAGGTGAGTCGTTGTAGACTAAAGACCTGTACAAACAGCAGAGACTAGGAATGCCACGAGGAATGAGAGACTGGCATGTAGTCCAGTCCTTTGGAAACTCTCTGGAGAAGAGAAGAACAGGAGATTGTCCACAAGCTCTGAATGGCAGCTCCTTGAAAGAGGATTGTAATGCCTGATTGGATTGAGCACCCTGAGACAAGACTTTAAAAAAAAAACATTAAACTAGCTACACTTACTTTGTAACCACATTTGATCTACTTAACTATATCATGGATATTAGAGACTTTCAAAATGCCAAGTTTAATTTGAGACCTGGTGAGTTTTCTTTGATACTTCTTCTTTCTTTGATACAAGGACTTTTTTTTAAGACTTAAGGGTTTAAAAACACTATATAATTGGCATTCAGGAAAAAAAAAGAATTTTAATTTAAGAAAATTATTAATTGAACTGGAGACCAGAGGAATATGGACTTCAATAATATTATTACAAAAAAAAAAAAAAAGCCCATGGTATTTGCTTACCTGGAACTTGACTTTCTGCTCCTTTCTCCCCTTGTTCACCCTTTGGACCACGAGTTCCTGGTGAACCCACATCTCCAACAGCACCTGTCAAGCAAATCAAAGGGTGTGATAGCAGAGCAAATGTGAAGGGATAATTGCATATTGTGTACAAAAAAGGTGTGCTAAAAACCATCCTTTTACCTTGATAAGAAAAGATTACTTAATAATAGATCATGTGCTGTCAAAATATTTTGAACTACAACTCCTAGACTTCACAACCACTGTGTCTAAAAACCATGCCAACCTTAATCATGTAAGCTGAGGCTTCTGGAAGTTGTAGATCAAGAGGTATACAGACTATAGGTAGTCCTTGATTTATGACTGTAATTGAGCCTGGCGATCATCAAGCAGGTCATCAAGTGACCATGTCCAATTTTACAACTTTTTTGTGATTAAGCGAACATCACAGTCATTAAATGAATGTGGAAGTTGTTAATTGAACCTATTGTACCTGGACACTATAAGCAAATGCTCGTTTCCAGCAAAAAAGCCTCATAAATCCCATTCACATGACTGCAGGACACTGGAAATGGCCATACATGCAGGCCAGTTGCCAAGCACATGCAGGTCAGTTGTCAAGCAATCACATGGCCAAAGGGGGCGTGGCTATCAGAACTTGGAAATCCAGGCTGTAAGTAGCTCTGGGGAGGTCCATTGTAATTTCAAATAGTTGCTAAGCGAGCAGTCATAAGTCAAGGACTGCCTATATTAGGTTATACCGAACTGCAGTAGATGATTTTGCTCTGTAGGTTTGCACTTTTTGTTCCGCATTACGGACTTGCAGGCAAAATTTGTTCTTACTGTCAATCTCCTGTTGTAAGCAGCTTTGTAACAAAAGGAAATGCAGAGAATGGCCACCGTTTTCTGCCTCATCTTTTGCTGATTCACATCACCAAGAATCGTTTCTTGCTCATGTCAGCAAGAACAGCTTTTGCCTGCAAATCTATAATATGGAACAGTGCTTAGAATGGACAAGGCCACAGAGACTCAAAATTCACTTTTACTATTTTATCATTTGGGAGAAACCCATCGACCAATGTGGAGGAAGGCAAAAACACTTTAATAAATGAGGTAGAAAGAGCTGGTCAATGAAAGAGAAGAAAAAGGACTTCCAGTTAAATTGAAATATTGAGTTGTTTATAAAGGTTAGATAAAGATGATTAAGACATATATATGTTAAGAGTGATGTAACGTAATTAACATGTTTTGATGTAGTGATAAGAATAAAAATTATAAGCTTAAATATGAGAAAGTGGATATAAGGAAGCATGCTGAAATGGGGGAAATTTTGGTTATTGAATTTATAATATTTGGAAATTATAACGAAAATAAGAATGTTATATTGTATTACTAATTTGTTGATATAGAAGTGAGATAGATAAGATATATATTCGGAATACTAGATGCTGGGGGGAATTGTGACAAAGGGAATTGGGGACATTTAAATTTTTTTGGAAATGATAAATATTAAACATTTAATTTAAATATCAACGTAAAATTAAAGCTGGGAAAATTCATAAGGTTATTGATGGTCCAAAAGATGGAATGTTAAAATAAATAAGATATATAAAATTATTGATAAATGTAAGAAAGCTATTAAGTAGCTGATGGATAGAATAAGAAGTATACTAATTTAAACAAGAGACAGTATGTATTAAGGGAAAAAAGAGAGGAAATATTACTGTAATAGTTGGAGATTTGTATTAATAATACCTGTAATGGAATTATTGTACCTCAGACACCATGTTGCTTTTCAAAGATATAATTGTAACATTGGAAAATTAATAAAAAGTTATAAAAAAAAGAAAGAGGAGAAAAAGGGGGAAGAAAGTCTGCAAATAAACTTTTAATGTATGCAATCTGATGCCAAATAAGTAAGCCGTAGTCACTTTTTTTTAAAGGAACAACGATCTAGTAATTTCAGTCAAGACTTTTCTATATTACGTGTTCTCAAAAGTCAAATTACTTCTAGGAAAAATGTTTAGTAGCTCTTGTTTTAGTATTTTCTCAGATATAAGTCCTATTGACCTCTGCATGTCTTATTACTTAGTAAGCATGCTTTGCTCTGCTGTGCAATCCCATGGATTTTCACTCAAAACTAAGCTCTGTTATATTCAGCAACATTTACTTCCAGGAAGTGGGTGAGATTATTGCGCTCCTAAACACATCTACAGTATGTGAGAATAAATGCTACTGAATATAAGGAAATTGATTTCTGGTAAGTATAGGGTTATAGTGTTGGAGAATGTTTGTGTCAGGGTATAGGTGATAAGAAGGTCATTTCAGTTGCACTTACACAACATTATTTACCTTTATTTCCTTGTGGTCCACGAAAACCGTCATGACCTGGTGGACCTGAAAGAGAAAATAGTATTTCCTTGTCTATACGTCTGAATAGGTTTCTATAAGACAGTGTTTCTCAACCTTGACAATTTTAAGGCATGTGGACTTCAACTCCCAGAATTCCACAGCCAGCAATGCTGGCTGTGGAATTCTGGGAGTTGAAATCCACATGCCTTAAAATTGTCAAGGTTGAGAAACACTGCTATAAGAGATTCTTTGTGTGTTATGAACATGACATATGAAATGATACGTTATATAGAAAATATAGACCAAACAGCATTGGTCACATTCCTGGATGATTTCTGGCGGGAGTCTTAAGACACAAGGACAAGAGGAATGAATGACCACAAACTCCAAGGAGAGCTCTGCTGTTCCCAGTTCTATTTCACTCCCTATGGAAGATGTGAAATGGGGGTTTGCCTCCACTCCTTGCGCTGTAGCTCTCTCCTCCGTTAGACCACCATGTTTTCTTATTATTTTCCCAACATTAATAAGGAAAACAGGAAGGACCAACTAGTCAAACAGTGTAAAAAAATAGCTAAGATGCCAGTAAGAAAGAAAGGGAGCTGCTACAATATGGCTGACTGTGGTTTGTTTGTTGTCTGAGTAGTTGCTGTTTGAATTACAATACTAACCCATAACATGTCCCAACTATTTACTTCGGAAAATAGTAAATGTCACATAAACAATGAAAGTATATTGAGTACTTGACTATTCTCCTTGATCTAAATATGACATTCAGGATAGCACTTGGTTGCTTTCACTTACCTTGCTGGCCTTGGTCTCCCTTCTCTCCCTTCTCTCCTGGATCACCAGTTATTCCTCTTGGGCCCGTGATTCCTCTTTCGCCAGCTTCTCCTTTTGATCCTGGAAAGCCTGTTCAACAGATTAAACACACTAAGTCTGAAGGCAGAAGTTTTCTCATTTGCATAGTCCCCGGTTTGTTTTCAGTCGTAGCCTCATCATAACATGGTAATAACTACTAATTTGCTTAATATCTTCTTCACTTAAGACAATCACATTGCCAGTCAATTAGCTCTTTCTAGTAATGATGAAGCTGTATATTTTGTTTCTGGGTTAACAGGCATTTGAGATCATTTGTCATATGAGTGATGAATTAAGACAGATTTTCTCACTCGGGTGTTTCTACATGATTTAGAATGTAGTCTCCATAACTCACAACTAGAATACCCAACTAGCTAGAGAATTATAAGAAAGGAAGGCCATATACCCATCTAGAAGGCACTCAGCTGATAAAGTTTGTGCTAATTTAGGTCAGCAAAGTGTTTAACTTCAGGCTTTAACAATTACAACACAACTAATTTGCAACTTTTTTTTTTTTAAAGCTACAGCTGTGACCAGGGGGAGTTGAGTTTTGGTTTTAGCTTGGTTGGATTTGGATAAATGAATGAGTGTGGAATAGAGGAATAAAGTGTTTGGCAAGTGGAGAGCCATATAAGTAAGTTACATAAAATGTGTTGGGGGGGGGGGAGTTTTAATGTAATTTGGAAAAACTATTAGAAAAAACTATAGGCAAACTTAAAGTAATGAGATTTCAGAAGCAGGAACCACAATTTAATCAAACTCAGTTGGATTTTATGATTTATATTAATAACAATAGACTATAATCTGGAGTACTTCTTATATGTGGTACCTTTTCACATGTATAGTGCCTGTTTTAATTTACATGGTAGATTTTTTTTCCTTTTCCTATAATGCAGACATGTCAAACTTGCAACATCACATGTCGCGTGACGTATCGGAACTTTTTCTCCATTGCTGGCAATGGGGTGGGTGCAGTTTCCTTGTGATGTGTCCGGCCTGCGGGCTGGCAATTTGACATCCCTGCTATAATGTGTCTTGAAATTATGCTAACATAGCTACTTGATATTGTAATAAGAAAAATACTTTTCTTTTTTAAAAAATTAGGCATTACTGATTTCAGTTGCAAACACCTAGGAAATGATAGATGGTAGCAAAGAAATATAAGAAACTCTGCCATTTAGTAACAGCCAAAATCTACAACCCAAAAGCTCAGGTAACAAAAATAATAATACATTTCTGGTATGCAGCCATGCTACACTGTTTCATCTCAGATTGCAATTTACACAGCCCCAACCCTGAAAAATAGTTGGTACAGCCCAGAAAATCAGGACAATAGATGAGAATATTTGTAATTCAGAATTGGTCCTCTCTGAGCTTGGTTGTTTTCTTGCAGACATTTCATTACCCCACTAGGTAACATCATCAGTGGCAAGAAGCAGAGTAATGAAACGCCTGCAGGCAAACAACCAAGCTCTGAGAGCACCACAAACCTCACAGAATCAAGCCAGTTTATCATTTATCTCTTTCTTTTGTCACAGCACCAGCAGAATTGCATTCCCCTAGGAACAGCCAGGAAGAAAGGATTTCTCTTATTTCAAAATGATAATAACTCATCTTACCGTGTGATCCCATCTCTCCCATGTCTCCTTTCATTCCTGGTTCACCCTTTGGTCCGACAGGCCCAAGATTCCCTTTTGATCCCTTTTCACCATTTAGTCCAGATAAACCTGATAGGAAAGAGATTTAATAATTCTTTTTAACTGAGCCACTTTACTCAGTGTCCAATACTGAACACAAGAGACTTAATCTTATTGCGATTTATGCTACAGTAGAAATCTCAGGGCTGATTCTCTCCTTGTAATAAACTTTGATTTGCTTTGGTGTGTTGTCATAGTGCCTGGATTTCCACAAAATACTAAGGCATAAATCATGGTTTAACAAACCATGATGGCTGTATTCACACCAGAAGCAAACCTAACTATTAGCATGATGCATGCAGGTTTGTACAATGCTCTGATGGGTAGAGTGTTGTTTGAATTAAGCCTTGTAGCTAGTTATGGTCCAGGGTGCTGATCAAATGAGGGAACTGGGTTACGGTAATTCCACATGGTATAACTAAGTAAGCCTGGGGTTACAATGGAGAAGACAAATTTTGGTGGGCAGAGGGTCACGTTTACCATTTCCCATGAAGATGGAAAGCTGTAGGAGATAGGGCAGTGATGCAAACAGGTCATGCCATACAAATGAGCAGCCCTGGATTTACTGATCCAGTTTTATATATATATATTTTGCATATTTTTCTTGCCTAAAATTATAAGAAATGATGACAATGAATTCTAACTATAGTTGAGGGAATTTCAGGGATCCTTAAGGAGGAATTGGGGCTGCTCACATTGCACATCCCTCAGCATGTTTGGCACTAATCTAATATATAGTAATTTGAGGAATTATGGCATCTGGGAACTTAATCTCATGAGAAACTTCACATTATCTTTGATAATCTTTTTGTCATCATCCCACTCTCCAAATCTGAATGGTATAGATTGGGAAAATAGACTTCTTTGTTATGATGGTTGTGCAACTATGAATTAGCACAAGTTGCCTATTTCTTTGAAATATGTGTTACATATTGACTATACTAAAAGATAAAGATAATTGTTCAGCATTTGTAGCTGTTACAAAATCATATATCTCTATATACAGTGTCTGTTTTCTGTCTGTCTATCTATCTATCTATCTATCTATCTATCTATCTATCTATCTATCTATCTATCTATCTAATGATATATTGCTATTTCTGTCATCTACTCTAAGTATAAAATATATCATCAAACAATGGGAAGGACTTGATAAGTAGATTAAAAATACTAAACCCTGTCTAAATATCTCACTGACTGTGCAACCATCCATAGTAATAATGTGGCTAAATTGCCTTAATTTCATTTCAGCAAAATGGCCTCGCTGGTTTTATTTCAGTCTTAACATTTGAAAATAGAGTTGCTCAAGTTATATGCATTTAGATCAACCTTTCCAAGCCTTGATATGGTCCATAAACAGAATTGTTGGAAGATATTGTCCCAGGATATATAGGGTTTGAAGGTTGAAAAGACCCAATTAGACATTTGGAGGATGGGAATCATAACTTTGGAGGACAAAAGGACTTTCAAGTTTGGATTACATGTTTATCTCTGACTAGAAATAAATCTGGGAACAAGGAACAGCCCAAGACATTTCGTTCTATGAACTGGAGTAGAATATGGTTCCTGTGCATTGTAACCAAGACTTACCAATGTTTTCCCCAGATCTACCCAGTAAGAAGATCTTGAAAGGCCCTATCCTAACTCCTGCTGTAAAAATACATTGATAATATAATAAATAATTAACCATATGTTCCTTTTTCATAAGACTGAAAACTAGACTCCTCAGTCACCATCATTTGACCACTATCTTGCTTTGGAACTTCTCTGAACCTCAGCCCACAACTGAAACAAATGCTGGACTGGACTTCTGACCAGTGAAGTTATCAAGGACCTATGTAACAGCAGTAATATTTAAGGATCTCCCAGGAGAATCACTTTAAGAAAAAGTGTCTAACGGGGCAAATCCAGTCACCAGCCTGAAATAGACTACCTGGTAGACCTTGCTGTCCTTTTGTCCCTTCTGGTCCCATGGCTCCTATAATCAAAATATAGAGAAAAATAAAAATAAATGCAAAACAAGAATTGGCAACACAAGGAAACTTTACTTGAATTTCAGCATCTGATTACTTTATTACCTCTGTCACCTTTCTCTCCCGGGGAACCAGGATATCCTTGTATTCCTGGAACTCCTAAAACATATACAGCACACATTAAAATGCAATCTTATTCTCTGTATATACTAGAAATTAAGTATCACGGAGCTCAGAAGGATTTGCAGTTTAGCAGAAACACACACATATATATATATATATAGGTAGTCCTCAACTTAATAATAATAATAATAGTAAAGTTGGAAGGGACCTTGGAGGTCATCTAGTCCAACCTCCTGCTCAGGCAGGAAACCCTATACCATTTCGGACAAATGGCTGTCCAGTCTCTTCTTAAAAACCTCCAGTGTTGGAGCATTCACCGTTTCTGAAGGCAGGTTATTCCATTGGTTAATTGTTCTAGCTGTCAGGAAGTTTCTCCTTAATTCTAAGTTGCTTCTTTCTGTGGTTAGTTTCCACCCGTTGCTTCTTGTCCTGCCTTCAAGCGCCTTGGAAAATAGCTTGACTCCCTCTTCTTTGTGGCAGCCCCTGAGATATTGGAACACTGCTATCATGTCCCCCCTCGTCCTTCTCTTCATTAAAGAGAATTAACTTAAGTTAACTTCATTAACTTAAAACCATCTCAGTTTTGTGATCTGAAATAAACCATAGATGGGCCACGTTTAAGAGAGATTTTGAATTCTGGTTTAGAAATGATATATGAGTCTTAACAGAGGTCTCCTCTTCAAATTCATCAGTGGAGAACATCAAAATTTTTGGCCACAGTCTGAGAAAAGAGACAAAGGACCTTTCCTTTCTTATTATTTCAAGGTCCAAGGAATGGGTCCCTCTACCCTCTTTTGATATGAAAATAAATTCATGGCAAAATGTGCTACATTCTTTCACAATGGATAAGCCCTCTTACACACAAGCCTATAAATATTCTATAGATATAGAGAACTTGCTACAGTACCCCATACATGGGTAGACAATAGTCTACATTAGGCAATAACTGGTTCCAGTGAAAATTAATCTCTTCCAACCACTCCAGAAGACCAATAATGTATTTTTCCCTTCCCCCAATGCCTGCTTTGTAGTCTAACAAAAGTACATTCCTCTTGAGCAGACATGTCAAACACAAGGCCCGGAGGCCAGATGCGGCCCGTGAAGTGTTTTCATATGGCCCGCGAAGGCATCCTGGAAACAGTGAGGGAATGGCCCCCGCTGCCTTGGCCCTGGCCCAGGCCAGCCAGGAGCCAATGTACAATTTTGTGGTGGCCATCTATGCTGAAATGCATTCAGTCTTAGCTCCACAAAACCGTCTGGAAACAGCAAGGAACCAGCCACTGCTGTGTCAGCCCCGCCCCCTGGGTGCATCCAGGGAAGGTGTCACCCTTCATGAGGAGTGAAGAAATGTACCATTGCCTGGAAGTAGCCAGCAAATGGCCCTCGCCTACTTCACATATCCAGCTTGATGGACTCCGGGGGAGGGGTTTCAGCAGGCAGTGAGGCTCCTCCAGTGGACCATGCCTTGGCACTTGCCCTAGTCCCACCCAGAGACCCTCAGATCTGTCCGACTCCTGCCCAGGCCCCCACAGGCACTCTTGACGTGAACGATGTAGAGCTGGCCATGCCCACCCAATAAGCTACACCCACCCTGGCCACACCCACCCGGCCTCCTGAGGGCAACCGCAATGCTGATGTGGCCCTCAATGAAATTGAGTTTGACACCCCTGCCCTTGAGTTTCCATTGAGGCATCACCCCTGCCCTTGAGTTTCCATTGAGGCATCTTCCCTTAAGGATTTGAGGTGGACTCATGGCCTGAGCACCAAGATCTAGCGTGATGTCCCCAGGAATGGCCAAAAGAAATTAAATGGTTCATATGGAATGGATAACACCCCTCTTGACTTCACAGCATAGAGGTTCAGACTGCAGCTCAAGAATTACCAGGTTCTCCTTTTGGTCCAGAAAGTCCTATCCCTGAAAGAAAAAAAAAAGGAAGGGAGAACCCACTCAGTTTAAAAATCAGAAATTCATTAATATCACCACCTCACCCTCAGCCCTCTGCTTCAAGATGGGGATTATGGTTTTATTTGCTTACCGTTTGTTCCAGGGTCTCCTTTGATGCCTGTTAAACCAACGTCTCCTTTTTCACCTTTATCTCCTGAAAGATGCCCCAAATATGGATTTATAGCAGATTTTTTATGATATATATATACTTGCCATAAATGATTCAAGCTCAAACCTTGAATCTGCCATTTAATAGAAATCACACATTGGCCGCTTATTTTAGTGGCCATTTCATTTCACACTGACCGCACTTCAGCAATGAAACAGGTATTCGTTATTTTAATGAATCTACAGAGGTCAGATCTGACTTCCTAACTATGTTTGCAACTTGCAGTGACAATTCATGGTGTAAGCTCAGGCTATCATGAATTTAGCTTTGGGAGCCATTTTGTTAGGTCTAAGCCACATGACCATTCCTGACTTCATATCCTACTCAGGAAGACAGCTAAGGAAGCGGACATGAAGAGGCACATAGCTTATTAATAGAATAGGGTTGTTTCGTCTGCACTGGGTCAATGCTGTAAATTCAAAACTGAATATTTGAAAATGTGACTTTTACTTACCTTGGTCACCTTGTCTTCCTGGAATTCCCCTTTCTCCTTTGGGACCTGAATATGAAGAAAAGAAGATTCTTATTTTTATGGTCTTCTTAGTTGCTGCTATTACACACACACACACACACACACACACACACATACACACACAGAGAGATTATAAATCAGCAGCAAAGACCAGTCTAAAGGGCCACTAAAATTATATGTTAATATAACAGGCACATGGATTCATTTGTAAAAGTATTGTCATGGCTGGAGAGGTGAATTGTGGGTAAAATTTCAGAGACCATGTGTTTTTAGGATGAAGGGAATTTATAGCCCTTGTCCCTAATCTTCCTTCTTGTATTCATCTGGCAGAAGATCTGAAGTGCCTATATGTATGCAAATTGTCTCTCTTGGACTTTCTATTCTATACATAATCATGGAATCCATCTATTCAAGTCTCCAAGTATCCCACCCAGCCTATTTGCATCAGGGATAGGCAGTGCTTTTTTTCTAAAAAAAAAAAGGTGCCGGAACTCACACACATCATACAACCCGCCTTGCCTACTCTATAAGGTTTCATCCAAAAAAGGTGCCGGAACTCCGTTCTGGGCGTTCTATGAGAAAAAAAGCCCTGGGGATAGGTGAATCTATCAGTTCTGATTGCTTTCTGCATCTAACATTTTCATTCCTTACATTTGTTCCATCTGATTTCTGCATTAAACTGCTTTTTTCTTTCTTTTTTAATCCACAAAAAAATCTTGTGCGTTTTCTTGCACATTTCTCCTAGAATGTACATTTCGTTTAAGAGAGATATTTTTGGAAGCTGAATTTCCTTAATGTGATTTCTTTAATTTTCTTAATTGCCCTTTTTTTACATTATTTCCATTAACCTACCCATTTTTGAATACTTTTTTTAAAAAAACTTGCTGTATATTCCAGCATTGCAAATTGGATAATGGGATTATTTCTCCTGTTCCTTTTACAAATGTACAGATTACTGCTGATTTCTTTGGATACATCCACTAATGGTGTTCAATAGGCACATTTTCACACATTTCTGCTGAATCCAGTAAGACAAAAATGAACAATTTAGTAACCATGCTTCAATGAATGCTGTGGAAGTGTAGACCAGCTGGTCTTGTCTACTTTGCTTGCTAGAATTCAGATATGTATGGCATTTGCCTGTTTGTAGAATATCATGTAATTTTAGTCACTTTCAGATATTTTACAGGAATTAAGTTGGACCCAATAAAGGAAAATATTTGTAGTTCAGGGTTGAAATGAGGGGTCCTCTCTGAGCTTGCCTTAGTTTACCTAGTTTGGATAATGAAATCTCTGCAAAAAAACAAGCAAGCTCAGAGAGCACCAAGGACCCCTCAATTAAGTTGGAGCAATAAAAGAAAGAATAGAAAGTGATTAGAAGGTCATACTATATTTACCCACCAGGAGGTCCTGTAATTCCTTGAGTCATGTTGCTTTTAATTTGGTCTGAAAAAGATATTGACATCTGTTGGAAATAGCATAACTAAAATCAATCAGTTTTGACACACTTATTAAACAAACTACACAGCTACTCTAGATGTAAACCATATTTTAACATTTCTCCAGTTACAGTTTTCAATATTCCCGTAGTGTTTATGACTTCCTTTTCCTCATTTTTTTCATGGATTACAGTACAGCACAAACATTTATAGCATTTGTTTCAATCCCACTCTTAGAAATATCAGTATCATTCCCGTGCAAACAATTAATTATTCCTTTCAAATGTCCTTATTTCAGTTTCATTCCAAACATTCCATCACTTTATTTGTCATGACATTTCCAAGGTGTACAGAAGGCCCTTCTTGGGTATTTATAGTCAGATCAAGAGATTTCCACCCAAATATCACAGTAAATACTGCAGACTCCAATAGGTTCAACACTTCTCAACAAGGTACAAGTCTACATGAAGAAGAAACAAATGTACTAATGAAATACAAACAAGTAGGAATATAATCAATGTAAGAAGCATTTTCTGCTCTTTGCTAAGGTGATTGAAAGGGCTGGTACCAAATCCTGAACAGTAGTATTGGGCTAGTGCATGTTAATGTGATTATTCTGGTGACTTTGTAGAGTTGTGGGTGACAGCAGTAGTAATAGATGTGCTTCAAACAGTTTTCTGAATGTTGTTAAGTGACTGACTTTATCTAGTTAATCAAACCCAGATCATAATCCCCCCCCCAAAAGCCTTAGATCAATGATACATCTGTCAGCCTGCTGTTTTCTCCTTTACAGCCAGAGAAACTAAAATTATGGAGGATCCCTTCTCTTGCCCCACCCACTATCCAGCTGCAGGCTACTTTGCAGTGGTGGGATTCAAATATGTGAACAACAGGTTCTCTGGATGGATGCCTCTACCGGTTCTGCCGAACTGGTGTGAACTGGCTTAATTCCACCACTGCTATTCTGTCTCCTATCCCTAGACAGCGTCTCTTTATTCCATTTCCCAAGGTCTTTCCCACATACCAAGTGGTGGGATTCAGCCAGTTCGCACCAGTTCGGCAGAACCTGTAGCAAATTTTTTTATTGCCCAGGCCCCAAATGGACTTCCAGAAGCAGCATCCACATAGAGAACCAGTTGGTCACATATTTGAATCCCACCACTGCACATACCATTATAATATCATAGCACCTACACTAAACAGATGAAAACACCAAACTGGATCCTTCCTGCCTTCCTTCCTTCCTTCCTTCCTTCCTTCCTTCCTTCCTTCCATCCATCCATCCATCCATCCCCCTATAGGTTATATCATAATATGTACAAAGACAGGTACAACATGATCACTAGCAAAGGATACATACTTTTATGTATTCGTTTTGGGTCATCTTCTGCATAAATTGGGAGTATTGGAAAGCTCTTAATCAGAAAACTTTGAGAGTAAAATAATCTGTACATTTGTTTCCCAGAAAAAAAGTTTATACATAATTTATTTCTAATGGCTTAATGAAGCAAGTTTAACTTTTTATATTCAAGCTCTTGTCCATGAACTCTTGCAAGGGAGCAAAGAGAAGACCATGAGCAGAAATGCCCCCAGAATTATAAATGTGGCATTTGAACTAAGAAACCCATTCCATTTTATATACAGCATTCAAAATGCTTAATATGCACAATAGAAAGATGGATAAAACAAAATAAAACTGCATTCAGGTTAGCTGATGCTAGGATGTACCTGTAATGTTCGCCATTTCCCATTGCAGATGTTGGTTGCTCAGTTTGATTACATGAATTTCTTTTTTAAAACTGTGGATCCAGTGTCCTTGATCACTCTGAGCATTGACTCCAAAAAGGATCTCATTCTCCATGGTGCCATTAGCAAGATGATTCACTAGTTTTGCTGGTCTGCCTTCTTTCATGTTATTTATAATTTTGTGCAACATATAGACTGAGAAAAATGAATAGAAAGTAATGAAATAGCCAGAGTTAATTCACCATTATCCAACTGTGCTAATTTTCTAAGTTAATTTTCATTTTTTTTAGATAGGAGAATATAAAATTAGGTGAAGAACTTTCCTGTTTTAAGCAAAGCCTATAACTTGTCAGGAAGTCTTGTTCTAATGCCTTAAATGCTCTCTTGAAGTTGTATAAATAATCAAAATTTGTGAAAACTATCACCAGGCATGTCCTTCTACTCCATACCCAGCCAAATCACTGATCTATTGTTATTGTTAATGTCATATAAAACACACTAAACCAATTATTGTAGCAGGATCCTACTGACTGTCACATTTCTACGATGTGAAAGATACAGAATAATTCAGATTCAATTAGCACCTTGCCTTTTCAATATTCATGTTTTATTATTTTACTTTAATGGTTAATTTTACAAATAGGTAACTATTTGTTACTTCAAAGTTAGTGCTTGAAGGAAATATATTGCTTTATGCAATGCAATTTAATCTGATGCTAAAAATGGGAACAGCAATATTGCCAAAGCAAGAAAACATTAACTGTGGCTGTTCTCTTTGGATATATGTTCATATCCAAAGGGATAGGGCTGGCCAAGGACTTCACTTATTGGGATATGTGCTCTCTCGTGTTTCTTCTGATTAGACAATATCATCAGCACAGTGGACATGAGTTTTGGCAGACTTGGGGAGACAGTGGAAAACAGGGGTGCCTGGCATGCTGTGGTCCACGGAATCGCAAAGAGTCAGACACAACTAAGCAACTGAACAACAACAGAAATATTTCTTCAAAGAAATTGAGTGGAACTGGAAGATCTTCCAATCTAGTGATCACTGCAATGTTAGAGGGCAACCTGCACCTATGATTGAATTAGCCCCACCAGCAGACCTTCCATGCCCTTCTTTAAATGCAATTTAAATGCACTGAAAGCTTGTTTCATGTTCTAGCACATGTTCTCTACACCGAAAAGAAGTAGGGTAACATTTGAAGGATGATGATCACAAGAGCATGACCAATGATTTTTTACCCACCGGCATTTCCAGCCCTTAAGATATACCGATGCTCGTATTGGAGGCACCTTTGTTATCAGCCATATGCTATCATTGGATTAGTTTATATAGTACCTTCACTGATGATGGAATAGCTACAAGGTCATGGCTTCCTCTACTTGCTGCATCCAATATAAATATTCCTGGCTTCAGCTGTGGACCATTAAATACCAAGAAAGCAAGTGATGCAGATGTGGAATGCAGCTCATCATTATTAGCCAGAAAATTAAGAACATTTATAAGACCCCAAAGCCAATTTGCTGCCTTTGACCTTTGCAGTCTTACAAGAAACTTTAACCTTGACCTACAATCCCCATATTTACTCTCTCTCTCTCTCTCTGCATGTGTCATCCATTTTTCTGTGATTTTCCCATCTCTTTTCTCCCTGCCTTTTTTTCTATGCTATTTCCTTTTCTTTCTCCCCCCACACTTTTTTTAAAAATGTAAGGTTAAAAGAAAAATGGAGAAAAACTATGTAGTTACTAGAAGTAGAAAACAATCTGGTGTCACATGAACAATCAATCAACAAATTAACAAATCAAAAGAAAAGTGATGGTACCATATTTTCTGTCCAAATGTGCCCCACAATTTATCAGCTAAAGGTTCAGGGGATGCTTGGAGTAAAGTAGCATTTTTAGTTTTTAGCTTCTTCTGTCCCCAGAATATGTCTGCAATTTAATCTGGACTTCAGAATGATTTCCTATCGTTATTGCTACTATTCTTTTAAAACTCAGTATTCTGTGGCAATATAAAAAGCATTGTAAAGAGCTACCCAGATTATGATGAGAAAACTCAGGATGACTAATCAGACCCGCATGTGACTGAAGACAAAAGCATCTGGAAAACAGGTTGGGAAGCTAAAGGTCTGAAGGTTATTTATTGAATGCTGGGAAATCATCTTTGGCACTGTTTTTATTTTTCAGGTACCAGTTAGAAGTGCTCTCACTTTTTTTTTTTTGAACTTTTCAGGGTGAGTGGGTTCTCTGACCTTTAATAACTCTATATTCTTTCCAGATCATTAAAAACAGTGAGGAAAACCCCCCTCATGAGCTGAAATACAGCAATCAAAGAGGGCACCCCAAAATATCTGGCTGCTTGGAGGGACATAATAAGATATCCCTTACCACCAGCTGTGACTTTCACACAACACACAGTACATTGAACTGCTATTTCAATGCTGCTAACCCAACGCACCAGGTTAGCTAAGGATTTCACTCAACTAGATTTAGCAATATCAGTGGTATGAGAACAGATAGTTTTTCATCTTTTGATTTAAAAAATTAAATTACATTTAATATAAGTTACCTTCATAGGCCAGCAGTCCCATGCCTCCCGTGAGCATAACCAAATATATTATGAGTACAGACCAAATACAGCATCTGCAAGTCTTTTTCTCTTTCTTTGGTTCTAAAATTTGGGGAAAAACAAAACATACAGAGTAATATAAGCCCATCATTTGGCTCTACAAGTGACTGAAACTACCATTACTGGTCAAATAATGATAGTTTCAGACCATAATCTTCTACACAAAGTTTTATAAAACATGGATCCTATTGAGCAGCATGATTTAAACAGGTTATTCTTTATTAATATGTTTAACAGAGGGTAAATTGTTTAGTTTCTAGACAAAGGTCTCTGTAGGTATAATCTATGCAAGCTTATTTGGAAGTATATTTGATTACTAAGGTCATTCAAATTTCTAAACACTTCTGCTGAGAATTACAATCAACAGATAACAGTCTCCCAAGAATTCACATCTTAGTACTAATTTTCATTATCTTTTACTATAAAAGTTTTGTAACTCAGTGACATAAAAGTCAATCAATAAAAAATAAAACAAACTAAGCAATATAATTTGGCTTCTTAGTGCATTTGGATGTAACCTGTGATAACAGCCAGCTTAATAAATCATGAAAAATCTTATAGGGGCACGCTGACAATTCTGAGGAAATGGATTCTTACACCAATGTCCACTTAGAAAGTCATACTGACACAATCTCACTGCTTTTTTTTAAAGGGACAAAAGCCCAACCAATAATATTTGTGTGTATTCTCTCACAAAACTCTTCCTTTTTCCTAGTCACTACAAACAGTTGTAATGAAAACCTTGCCTATGGAAAAATAGCACTTAATGTGCCATAGCACATCCTGAAATGCAACTTTAAATTGGTGTGTGTGTCTCTGTGTGTGTGTGTGTGTGTGTGTGTGTGTCTATTATGGAGTTCTGATTTCTCTAAGAGTATCTTTTTAGCAAAAGCATATTTAATTTATCTCTTTCCTCAGTGAACTATACAAAACTGAAAAGATAAAAATATTCTTAATTTGGATTTGATTCCAATGATTCCATGTATGAAATTTTCTTGTCAACTTGGTGTCCAGGGTGTATATGTATGTCAAAAAAAGTCAAGTTGGTGGTTGCGGTTATGCAACTGAAGCCCCAATGCAACATACATGCACATACACCGCATCAAAGGGATGATGGACAGGGCCACGTACCATCAAATCTTGCGTGAGAATCTCCTTCCCTCAGCCAGGGCATTGAAAATGGATCATGGATGGGTATTCCAGCATGGCAATGACCCAAAACACAGGTAACAAAGGAGTGGCTCAAGAAGAAGTACATTAAAGTCCTGGAATGGCCTAGCCAGTCTCCAGACCTTAATCCCATAGAAAATCTGTGGAAGGAGCTGAAGGTTCGAGCTGCCAAACATCAGCCTCAAAACCCTAATGACTTTGAGAGGATCTGCAAAGAGGAGTGGGACAACATCCCTCCTAAGATGTGTGCAAACCTGGTGGCCAACTACAAGAAAAGTCTGACCTCTGTGATTGCCAACAAGGATTTTGCCACCAAGTACTGTTTTGAGAAGGAGTCAAATACTAAGGTGACCAACTGTCCTCCTTTAGGGAGGACAGTCCTCCTTTTGTAAGTTCTGTCCTCCCTTGAAAAGTGTCCTCCTACATGTCCTCCTTTTTGATATTTGGAGACTAATCTGCAGGGCTTTTTTTTTTCCTCACAGAAAAAACGGTGTTCTGGCACCTTTTTTTTTCAACTTTTGCATGAGCTGTGCTACTCCTACTATTGGCTTTCGAAAGCCAGTAGGAATTGCTACTGAGCACACCAAAACATCCAGCTGGCAAACTTTGCACATGCAAGTTGTCTGTATTATTGTTGCAATGAATAAAATGTTTCTTTTATTTACAATATTTTTTCTTCAATTTATTTGTGTTCTCCTTTTCATTGTAAAAAAGTTGGTCACCTTACAAATACTTATTTCACTAATTAAAATGCAAATCAATTTATAACTTTTTTGAAATAAGTTTTTCTGGATGTTTTTATTGTTATGCTGTCTCTCACTATTACCATAAACCTACCATTAAAATTATACACTAATCATTTCTTTGTCAGTGGGCAAATGTACAAAATCAGCAGGGGATCAAATATTTTTTTCCCTCACTGTATACAGGTGTTTGCATAGACTTAAACCAATATATTCCCATTACACATATGTCCTGAAAAACACATTTAGGATTGTAGTCTTGGTCATGAAATTCCATGTCACCCTTCCATGTTTTTATGTCACTGCCATAAAATAATGCCATTTAATGCAATAACAAATTAATTCCATTCATAAAAGACAAATTCTCACTAATCAATCACTTATAAATTGTCTTAGATATTTTGATCAAAATATAGATGATAATCAGATAGTACTTTACCACTAATTTCAAATGATGTGAGTCCAGTTGATCCAAAATTCATCTTCTCTGAAAATGAGAATATTTTAGAGTCTTTGAATTCATCATCAGTGAAGCTGTTTAAGTTGTCCATGATCAAAGTTTTACTGTAAACTGCAATTCTACCAGGATAAATTTACTAATTTTATCTTCTGGAAATACATCTTATTACAAGAACACTTGCAATTGGCTGGATTTTATTTTTACTACACTTGCAAAAAAAAAAAGAAAAAAAATCCCTAGCAGAGTACCTTTGGTACTTCCCCAAAAACATCTAAGTATGGGCTGGTGAATATACCCTTTAATATTAAAGGTAAAGAGAGAGAGAGACAGAGAGAGAGAGATAAAAACTAAAATCCTTATTCTGAAAAGTGACTTTGTCATTTGCACAATGACTTATTTCAAGAAGAAATAAGAAAATCCTGTACTCTTGACCCATCATGCTTATGTAAAGGCACATCCATACGCCTAACTCAGCATTGTTTTATGGGTAGGAGTGATTGCAGCAACCAATAGTCTATAACTGTCATTGTGAAATGGGATAGCAGTGGAAAGAAAAATGCTGAAGCAGTGGGTGATTGGGGTGGAGGGCTTGCACAAGAAGAAAATGTATTAATAGAATTGAACTGAGGAAGCTATGTGGATGAGAAGTGGAATGTTTTCAAAGAAAAAAACAAATGAAGAAAATCCAGTTGACTTTTGGAAAAGCACCCTTTGGGTGAACCATGACTTGAATGATTGAGAAATCTCCACAGACAAATTCTTTTTTTTTATGTAGTGTATATTGGAGGTGGTGACCCTCTGCAATGAAATTTCATTTTAATGTATGCTGATTAGTGTATATTCGAAGTAACAATAAACTTATTATTCTATTCTATTCTATTCTATTCTATTCTATTCTATTCTATTCTATTCTATTCCATTCCATTCCATTCCATTCCATTCCATTCCTTTCCTTTCCTTTCCCATCCTGTCCAATGATTCCCATCTCCTCTTCCCTTTGTTGAATCCCTGTTTACATGATTAGGTAGGCATGTTGCCACAAAGCTATGGAGTTTCAGTGACTGCCACTTCTTTGCTTCTGAACCATGCATTTTTTTTCCTTGCGTCCATGTTTGGCATGAAGGAACCATCCATTTCTTGCTTTGATCATTGTGTCATCAGAGCAGCAATGATACAACAAAGGGAAAGGAGGACTCAAAGGAGAAAATTTGGGAAGGGAGGATGAAAACATCTGGGAAAGTAGAGGAAAGTTGCTGGGACTAGGGAGGAAGGAACAATCCTTAAAAGTAAAAGGCAAATACTTGAAGGTAAGAAGGAAAGGAATGACCAATTGGGGATTGTAGGGCCATACCCTGGACTGAGCACTTATTCCTTACTGAAAGACAAACTTGCAGACATCTAAGGAAAATTCTTTGCCATTCAGTTTTCCTTTTATTTGAAGCTCGATTCAAGTTCTGAAAAGATCAGCAGAATGACACTGTTGATTGGCTGTCATCCTAATTCCTAGCCTTCCTTCTCTTTCTTCTGTGGTTGCCAGAATCATGATATTGTCACAATTTACACAATACTATTTCCAGCATTAGCAATTTGGGATTTTTTTTTTTTTTAGTTTCTGCAGAAACAGCTGCTTAATCATTCAGGAAAAGAGTAATTGAACTTTGGCTGAGGTCATTGCTCAGTCTAATAGCTACTGGGGCCAAATGTCATGAGTGTTAATATGGGCAAACACTTTGGAGTTGTTCTTCACTTCTCTGCAGAAATAAAAAGAAGTCTTTGGGCAAGCTATTCTCCAAAGCACCGGAAGGCAGGACAAGAAGCAACGGATGGAAACTAACCAAAGAGAGAAGCAACCTAGAACTAAGGAGAAATTTCCTGACAGTTAGAACAATTAATCAGTGGAATAACCTGCCTCCAGAAGCAGTGAATGCTCCAACACTGGAAGTTTTTAAGAAGAGACTGGACAGTCATTTGTCTGAAATGATATAGAGTTTCCTGCCTGAGCAGGGGGTTGGGCTAGATGACCTCCAAAATCCCTTCCAACTTTATTATTATTATTATTATTATCATTATCATCACTACTACTACTACTACTACTACTACTACTACTACTACTACTACTACTACTACTTTAGTTTATTTGATGCCAAAGTGGTACTGATTAGACTTTGGGGACTGGGAATCACCCGGCTTATGTCTCTATTTGATTCTCATGCTCACTGGATTGTCTATGTCTATATAGGAAGAGAGATATGCAGTGGGTCAGCTTAGGATTCAGTCCTTAGTTCTGTACTCTTCCACATTTTTATAAAAGACTAGGTGAGGGCATGGAAGGGATTTGTTAATGACACAAAACTAGGGGCATTGCTAATACCTCAGAAGTTAGACTCAAGATTTGAAAGTATCTAGATAGACTTGAACCCTAACCCTTCTAAATAGCTCTTATTAAATAACTTACGGCTGAAGACTGTTGTGTGTACAGCAGAGACACACAACCTGAGTCTCCAAAGCTTCATGAAATCCTCCAATGTCTTGGATATGCCCCCTACCAATCAACCTGCCCCCATGATGTTGCCAGCTATATTTTAACATGATAGGGGAATAAATCAGTAACTACACAAGTAGCATTAGTAACAATTATAGTTAATTAATGTAATTCTAATTATATTCCCAACTGAATTAAATCAGATGCCTTTTTTTAACCAGGCCTTACCCTCTTTTCTGAGCACATGCTACCATTCAAGGGCCAAGTAAAACCGTTAATCTCTCTGCCCTGAAACCATGAAGCCCACTGATACAGAATAAAACATATTTAGCCAAAACGATTCAATTTTATATATGTGTGTGTTGCTGGCTAGCACATGTGGGTCAGATATCAGAAAAATGATTCACCCTTCTCTGCACTGTGATGTGCTGCATTGTGGTGAGATAGGTAATTCATGGACATGATTCAGAAAAGTGTTACTTTTGATAAGTTTGTAGTCCTTCAACCTTTCTCTCCCACCCACCCACCTTCAGTTCCTTAGTTTAGACACCATCAAGGGAGGACTACATGGTAATGTGGATTAGTTACACAGATAAGTGTCTGGCAGGTAGCAGACACCTACTAAAGCAAAAATGGGAAATCATTATCTAATTGGGGTTAGAGCAGAAAGTTTATTATCTCACAACACGTGAGAGTAAAGAGGAAGGGCTAGATTATCTAAGCAGCTTCTCTTCTGGGATTAATTGAAAAATGCAGGTCAGTCATGAGACTGCATGCTGAAGGAGTCTGAGCTGGCATTCTCAGGTAGAAAGAGCATGCTCAGAAAAATTCCACAGCATTACTGGCCCACTCTACAGCTGAAGTGAAAGATTCAGCATATTATGAAAGGAATAAAAATAAAACTACCCAATAGATATTTTTAATACTACCTATCAAAATGATTAAATTCTGTGTACAGTCTGTGGCATAGCATTTTTTTTAAAAAAAGTATAATATAGCAAGAAAAGTGTAACTGAGATTATCGTTGGAGCAGTTCTTCTGTTAAGAGAGATAACGGGGCATAATAACCAGGCTGGTTAATAATAATAGAAGTGATTCCGGTTGATATTTAAACATGGAAGACCAGCAAGTTTATCCAGGCTGTAGGCTAGTGGTAGAAAGAGAAGAAGGTAATGACAAACCTCTGTTGTTGTTGCTAAGAAACGTACATGCATGTATCTGCTAAGATGAAGGATCATCCTCAACTCAAAAGAAACTCTGGAAGACTTTTCTCCTCCATAATACGGGACCTGGAGTCATCCATTCAGTTGACTAGTGGGAGATTTGGGGCTGGGGGATTAAATTAATAATTTCTTCACACAGGACATCTGTACTGAAATTCTCCATTGCATGGTGTAGTGATGGAACCAACTTGGTTGGAAAAAATGAAATGAATTCATGGAGAATCAAATTATCTATTACCACTAGTACAGTGTTTCCCAAACTTGACAATTTTAAGGCATGAGGACTTCAACTCCCAGAATTCCACAGCCAGCAACGCTGGCTGTGGAATTCTGGGAGTTGAAGTCCACATGCCTTAAAATTGTCAAGTTTGGGAAACACTGCACTAGTAGGATAAAATAAATAAATAAACTCACTTACAGAACTTACAGAGAGAGGGCATAGAACAGAGCAAAAAATAAAATTGGGTGGAATGAATGAATAGGAATGGCAAAACACAAATAGTAAGTTCCAGCATGGCCCACAAATCTTCTCTCTTGTTCCTTAATAATAAACACATCCAATTATACACATGTCTTATAAAGAATAACATTGAATTAATATATTGCTATGTATAACTCTTTCACTTCTGAAATCAGTTACTCCAAGAGTGATTTTTTACAAGTGTTACGTTTGCTGAATCCCTAGAGAAAATAGCTTGAGGGATTGTTTGCCATTTCAGGAGCTGGATTAAAAAAGATCACACTGATTTCAAAAGTTCTTCTACCATGTATCTTCACGTTTGGTTTTGAAAGACAGGGCTGAGCAGGAATCTTGTGCACATCAACTGTGAACATATGCACAGGTATACATGAGCTTTTTTCTTCTAAGATTATGAGGCTGAAATACAAATATGAGATGCTGATTAATGAGAGTAAACAATGACTATCTAATGCAACTGATTTGAGCTTAAATATGCACAAATTGAAATAGAGAGGGAGACAGAGAGAGCCTTTGTGTCAATCAATATACTTGGTATTTGAGGGCATGTGTGGTAAGGTGGAGAAACCTACACACATATACAGTCACCACAACGATGTTGAATGAACATCTCCATCGTTGGTCACACTGCTTGGCTCTACTAGGAGTTTTAGTTATATAAACTGGAGGGCCACAGATTCCCAGTGTTATGGTCCATTTGTGTCTTATTCCATGGAACAAAAAGACATGAGAAATTCAGTTTAAAAAACCCATGTTGTGCTGGAGAATAACTGAGAGCAAAGCTTAATACGTTACAGATGAATGCCATAGGTGATAGTGGGAAGAATCTGTGTATACTGTACCTTCCATCAGTTATGAATGTGTGGCTTAGAGCACCCTTTGGGTGACTGTTCTCATTCTAATTTATTATAATTTTCATGTCAGAATGAGAGGAAATCACATGGGGAAGGAAATGAGTACCATACTTCCTCATGTAATTTTGCAAGAGAAAGCATTTATGCTGTGGCACATGATCCATTTATGTGACTGGTTCAGCACGGAGTGATATGAAGGAGTGATACTGAATTCTGTGCATCATCAATCAAATCATCTTTTGCTTGCATTTTTGTGAGGCTGTTTTGGTATAGGTATTCATGAAGTGAGCTACTACTCATACCAGTTTTCATGTATTTGTTATAAACTAGCACAGGTCTCCATTTTTATTATATTTCAGTCATGTATGC